TAAGTGGTCTTTAATGCCCCGGAACGCCTGTTATATTTTTAATAATTCTTAAACGAATGGCATTTTTAAGGGCAAAAGCTTTTTAAGCTTTATAATCCAATAAAGAATTTAAAATTTTAACCTTAACCCTTACAGCCGCTCATTGCTATAGGATAGTTTAAGAAGATAGATCTTATAATTAATAAGCTTAGGTTTATAGGGAAAAAGTTAATAATAATTATTATCTTTATAAAGCACCTTAAGAATTAGCTATTACTTAGGATCTTCCCTATAAAGGAACTAGTATAACTTAAGGATAATTTCCATAAGGTATATAAAGTTAGGACCTTAAGCATTTAAAGGATATACAGGTAGGCCGCACCTATAAGTTAGGAATGTAATGCGTAGGTTGAGCTAAATCAGTTCCGCAACCTAGGGACTATGCTGGCCACCTTTTACAATACGGCCATCTTATGCCTCCACAGCCCGATCCCCCGTATATTGTACACAGGTTCCATCAACGTAAAGCTGGATAATATATTAAAAAAGCTTAACTACGCCTACACCGCTGAAATGTAGCGTATCATAGAAAAAGGCGGAAACACCTTTAAAGAAATATAAAAGTTAAACGAAGAACTAACGGAGGAGTTGGACAAATTAAATGGGTACTGATATATAACTCAGGAAACGGCATTGGTTAAGCTCTATAAAAGGTAATGCACCTTGCGACCTTTTCTTAACCCTATAGTCTATCTCATGCTTATAAATCCTAGCTCCTTCCGTAAAGATACATTACAGAAGTTAGATAAGAAGTGGCGTCGGGTCAGTAGCATTTTCGATAATGATACGAAACATTAAGAGATCGCCGGCAGTAGGTACTCTCTTTGCTTACCTACCCTAGCCCTACCATAAAGCTAACTTTTTTTTTTCTTTTTTTGCTGTCTAGCTTTTCTGCGTTACGAGTGTCATGAATTCTTTGTTCTAGGGATTTGGGGAGGTGATGACTTGACTGAACAACAAGGGTAAGGAGAGAGAAAGGTTGAATGTTCATTCTAGCATTAACCGCCCACCGAGCCTGGGGACGATGAGGTCTTCACCGACGAGCTTGACAGCAATAAACAAGTCTCCATAGGTGGTTTCGATATTGATTCTAATTACATCGATAGTGAGGATGAGTCTGTTACGAACCTGCTGTTCTCACGGTCGCAGGATGGGCCTAACTGGACAGTGATCCGCGGCACTACGCTGCCTCAATTGGAGATGGGGGCCCAATACAGACACGGGATCCCATGTATATAATATTTTACGGGATCCCGTGTGGATTATATAAGCACCAGCTACCACAGCTTTAAACAGCTGGTATAATTGCCTACAGCTATCACGCGCACTTATCACTTATAGCTATTAATATATTTTACAATCGTTATTAATATATTAGGTTATAATTTTTAATGTGCTAAATTGGGCCGGAGACAGCCGGCTAGAAGACTTAACAGAAGTAGAAGATTATATTTTAGTTAAAAACAATTGCAATTAACGATTGCAATCGAATTCGTTAATATTTACGGCTTCAATTAATTGGAGGTGGTTGGTGGGCTTTATGGCCTATGAGGCGTTGGCCCATGGCAGGGGGGGTTAACTTATTAACTAAAATCCTATTTCACCTAATTGGAATAGCCCCCTTACAGTATTCTAGATAACCCCTGATTGGATTCTTTATCGTTATCTGCAACCTAAAAAAATTCTCAACATAACTGCTTATACCTATCGAGTGGTATGGGGCAGATCCGCCTTAAAAATCTATTAAACTATTATTTATAAGCCTGGGCTTATTACCTATTGCTTTAAATTTTCCTCCATATTCCACGCATTATAGTAAGAGAAACTTAAGATTTTTATATAGTAATACCTTCGAAGACCTATTAGTTCCTAACTAGTTTGCGAGATACTATTAAAGGATTAATTAAGCTTTAAGTAAGTTATTAAAGATTTGTAATTTAAATCCCGGCATACGAGACTGATTTCGGAAGCTAAATACTTTAAGAGATCTAGTTTACGCTAATCCTTTAACTTATAGAGACGTATTAAGTTCTATATATTATTTAGGTAGTTTAAAGGTTAAGCCTTTTTAAAGCCAAGGATTTAATAATAAGCTATAAAACTATAAATGTTTATTATTAAGCAGTCTATATTTAAGGGCTATAAAATATCCTTTAATGTTGCGTTGCTTATGTCTGGCTACCCTTATTATAAGCTTAGCTGTAAAGCCTTTAGTGTTTATAGATTTTGAACTTTAAGTTTAAGTATAGGTAGGCTAGAATGAAATTATCTTTTTCGGTAAGGGATAAGGGTTCGTTCTAAAGTTCCCTTTAATGTATATTAATTATAATATAATATAGGATATAAATTAATTATATATTAAAGATACCCCTTAAGAGTTTTTAAATTAATTAATTACTTATATAGCATTTTTATATATTTAAGGAATTTTAATAAGATAATATATTCTTTTAATATCTTTATACATTTAATAAGCTTTAAATTATAATAAGCTATACTATTATTAGCTTTATAGCTCCTATTGTTATAAGTGATATTTATTAAATAAAACGGATAGAAAGAATAGAAATTTACTTATTAAGAATAAAATAGTAGTAATAACTCTTTTAATAATATATTATACTACTTAGGAGGCTGCTTGGAGCATGGAGTACCCAACGTCTGGGCTGAAATGAGAAAAAGGAAGAAGTACTCGCACATATCGTCTACTCAATATAAGAACAGGCAAATCAAGAACAATATATCAAGAACTGAATAAAGGGGTATGAGACGAAAATAAAGAGGGCAAGCAGGTATGACCGCCTCTTTTATACTGGATAGTAGCCTTCATGGCGTAGAAAATCTGCCTTGTCCGGTGTTAGTTGTCTCGAGTTTCTCTAGAACAGACGCCATGCTGGTGGTGAGGCAATGCTGCAGCATCTTCGATATGCAACCGCCATAGGAGACCTGCTTAGCCCCTCAAGCTACTCAACTCACCTTTGGTGGAATACACCTCCGTGCCGGATGTCTAAGCAACTGTACTTGGTACTTTACACGTGCTGAGCATGATGCGGAACATTGGATTCTGCCCGCCGACGCCTCTCCCCAAATCTCCTGCTTAAATCAGTTAAATCGCTTTGTTTAACCTGACAACTGAAACCTCCTCATCCCACATAACGGGCCGTAGCAGCGGCTCTCACAGCTTGGAGGGGAAAGGCGTCAAATGAAACCTGACTGATTCGCGAAAGAAGTATTCTGCCTCGCCAATTGTTATCTACAGATCCAAGCCAGCCCTTCTCCCTAGGCCTGGCCTAATGCGTTCAGGTGTTTGCTGCTTCCAACTCGGATGAAGCGATGAGCCGTCTCAGCCTCATTCCAATCTCCTTGGCTTATCAAGCGAGGAGCTATGAGCAGGCCGTGGCCACTTCACATGCAGGCATACTCACAGCGCCTTGTCTACGCCATCCCACCCTACCTGTATACCTGCTTATTTGTCGCCTGATCTAACCGCCAGGAGATAGCCCACCACGCCCTCGTCGTATAGACTGTGCTTGGCCGCGGATCAGTGACACGACCGCGTCACCTAGCTGCCCAAGAATCCGTCGACGCATGACGTGGCCAGCTCCGCAGCTTCAAAAGAAGCGCCTAATAGAACGGTTGCTCTCCGGCAGACTTGGTTGCGACATCGGCGGCCTCATACTACAGTTGATCATGTAGAACCATACTAGAAGTAACTTAGACTATGCCCCCGAATTTGACCCTTAGTGGATAAGGGCGCCTGTATTTGATGGGTTGCCTCCTGTCTAAGCCCTCATAGTGGCTGTTATACAAGCTACGGTATTGTTGATGGGTACAGTAACAGTGAAATACGAAGAGAGGATGGTTAGAACGTATAGCATAAATCTCTTTAATTATATGGGAGGTATGGTAAGGTCTTAGAGATCTCTTAGTTAGATAACATTGCGGGTATAGATTGGCAACGCCTGAGAGAGATGGTTCTGTGTAGAGGGCATGACAAAAGATCGTCTAGACGTCTAATGGAGATCTTGTAGGCAATAGCGTCTGTATAATCGTAATTCAGGCGCTCAGGGCAACAACAATGGGCCAACAGGCAAGCGGTTCTATAAGCGCCATGCCGAGCACAATATGCAAGAATGGGCTCGCTGTAACTCGTACACGCGAGCGACATAGAAGACGGAGCTCTGCAAGGCAGACAACACAGTTAAGATGATGTCGAATATAACCATGGACATCTAGGACATTGAACAGATCACAAGCATAGATTCGATGATCTATGAGGGACACAACGATTCTGAGCCTAGCCCCTATTTTCTCATACAGCTGCTTGACACCTCAGCCTTCAGACCACCTTCACTCTACGGCAATCCCGGCCACCCTCTAACCACTAAATACATAGGCAACTTAACCAAATTACGGACAGAGACGAAGTGGACACCATAGTGTCAATTGCGAAACAGTTCCATGCGACCTGACCTGACCTGAACATCTATTATATAGAATAAAGCCGCAGCCCGCTTAGACTTTGCCCCTTACGTCCACTTTACCATGGTCCCTCTAAGCTATATCGCATTAAGATGCTCCTGGTTGAGCTAAGGAGAGAGGAACCGGCCGACCTGGTCGAGCTCGTGTTTGATTATGGTGGTCATCCAAATGAATAACCAAGGTTGATTAATTGATTGATTGATGGTGTTTAACGCCGCAGGGGCTCTGTTGCCTTGCAGTTAGCCCAGGACTTCTTAAAAGCATTGGGGACATGAGTAGCTATCCGCTATATATAGTAGTAATTCATATGTAGCGGCTTCAGTAGCCAAGGGCGCAGTAGGCGATGCCAACATGCAGTCTCGAATAGACTAGCGATGATTAGTGACAAGGCAGATTCTGCCTTGGCCGCTGAGACAGGCGCATGCGCTGGCTCACTAGTGCAGCTTCATCTATACTATCCTCATGACTTTTCAATCTCTATTTAAGGGCTCTAGGAAGCGGTGTCTTGTCATACTTCATTCCTTTAATCCCAACCACCATACATCATTTAAATCCCCTCCAAGTATATATCGCAAATTCTTTTTACACTATCTTTTACTGATACTACTATGTCTCATCACCTTCGAGATTCCATAATCTTGATCCGCCTAGTCATCTTATCCCTAGCCATCATAGGGCTGGCTGTCGCCGGCCTTAACTCAGCCAACGCGCGTTTTGCCATCATCTTGCGTAATAGAGCTAGATCCGGACTTACCGACTCTGCCAGCACCATCTTAGACAAAACGTTTGCTTCACTTATGCAAAACATCCTTGTCAACACTGTGGTCATGGCCGTTATATCTACCGCCTTTGCTATCTTCGGAATCGCAACTGCAACTTACAGGAGATGGCTTCGAGACAATAATAGACAATGGATGTGCTTTTCAGGTACCCAGGTCCTCTTGGCATTGGTCCTTATTATTATAGGAGGATACCTCGCCGACTATGTCAATGGCTTCCAATCCTCCTTTGACAAGTTCGGACGTGGTGAAGACATCCCATATTATACCGTTATGTATTTTGGGGGTATAGCCGAGGCATCCTACGGTGCCCTAGTCATTGCCTTGTTCCTACTTATATACTCTATCACTACGGGGGAGAGGGAGATGAGACGTGTGGAAATACGCAGAGAGGGAGCAGAAGACTTGTGATAAGTGTATGATTTCTAAGGTTAATTACTTCTAGAAGATCTGGAAACAATTAGTATACAAAGTTACGTGTCTATACTTTTTGTAAAGGATAGAGTGTGGTATAACGAGAAAATAGTTGAGCTTATTCTACTAGCTTGTTACGAACTTACCGTTCGAGCGCGTCTTGCTGTCTCGCTGAGATGTGTACTAATAAATAGTGTGGCGGGTTTACAGGGGTTGAGAAGTCCCTGCTCACCCCCTGATATATTAGCCCGTATTAATCCATCCAAATTAACCATCAATTCTGACAGTATGGATCTATTGCAGACTAGGCACGACATAACAAGACGGTGTTCAAAAACGTCGTCGAGGAAATCTTCGTCACTACTTGGGTGACAATCTAGTATCATAGAAGATCAATACGCAAATGGAGGTGGTTCATAACCGGCTATGGGAAGTCTGCCTTAAATACGGCGGCGTTTCGACGGCTGGTTCCCGTCAGTACTTCTATTCACCGGTCCTTTGCATGTCTTGCGATGTCTAGCCATGTTTGATCTGTCGTGTTCTCGTCCACATTTGTCGCATACGGCGGTTTTTGCATATGACTTGCTTGTTTCGCTCTTTCCATCCGCATGTTGATTAGCCGCGTCGTGGATAGCATCGCTGTGAACTAAATTGTGTTGTCGTTGCATGTGAAGCCATGACGCAGCTTGACCCTTGCGCAGATGTCAGCATAAGATAAATACTCTTTCAACCAAGTGTAACTAACCTGACAGTGGCCTAGGAAGTTCTTGAGAAGTTTTTCAAACCTGGAGTTTTTTAGTCATGTCTGGGTGAATATGCCTGGAAAGACCTACTGTTCCGGCGTGGGGTCTTTGCTAGCTTCGTTAGGTTGTGCTGTTTCTCCCGAGTCATGATGGGGACGGAGTCTGTGAGCCAAGACATGGGCGAAGAAATGGACCTCTTCGCACTTCTTCCCGCAACTGGGACATGGTTCATTTTGATCATACTCACACATGTGGTCTGAGATATGCGCGTCCAAGCCGTCTACACGGGCGCCACAGAAGGGACATGACGAAACTGAATGCTTGCGATGTATATGCGTGGCGAGAGTGTCGGCAGACGATGGGAACCCGGGGCAACTAGGGAATGGGCATTGTCGAAGGTCATGGACCTTCTTGTGTTCTGCCAGCTGCGACGGTGCACATTGAACTTCGCAGTCCGAGCAGTCCTCCCACGAATGCACTTCCCGTCGGTGAGTGCGAAGCTGCGATTTCGAATACCTGCTTGCACATTCCTCACAATAGATATGACACTGAGCGATATGTTGTTCAACATTAGAATCGGCTCCAAAAAAGGAACAGTAGGTACAGAGCCTCGCTGAATGGGCTTCTTGAGAGTGGACAAGCAAATCAGAAGCCGGGAATTCTGCATCGCATAGCAGGCACTTCCTGGGCTGGTGAGTTCGCTGGATGTGGTTGTCAAGCGAAATCTCTTGATCGACTTCGCCGCAGTAAGGGCATTGCCTTTCGTTATGGAGGTTTAGGAGGTGGTCTTTCATCGCTCTCTTGGAGAGCTTCTGCTGGCAATATTTACAGGATAGCGTGGCATGAAAAGTTGCAAGGTGGTCTTTAGCATCAACAGCCATGGTGGCTGGGCAGCTCTCACACCTTTCCCAATTGTGTGACTGCGCTAAATGATAGTTGATGGAATTTTCATCGATGGGAACCTCGCATAAAGGACAAGATACCTAAGAATGTAACTCGTTAATATGTTCCCAGTGATATTTGTTCAGAGGTAGAGTTAAATCGTAGTCCTTGCAGAGCGTTAGACAATGTGTTTGGAATAAGTGTTTCAACAGGCTAGCTGCTGGATCTTGAGCGACAAAGTTACATTTATTACAGTGTTTCCTGAGATGACTTTGAATATTCGTACGGCTCGTGCCACATTTTTCGCATAAGTGAACAGATCTGATGTGTTCAGATAGGTCCTTGAATTGTTCCCCGCATGTATTGCATTCGTGCGTTGTTTGGATATGAATGTCCAAATCAACAGCTAGGTCGAGACAGTAGCTACACTTGTGCTTAGACACAACATGCATAGGTAAATCTTCCTGCACTTTCTCGCAATGCCGGCAAAAATGGTTGAGTGAAATATGTTCCGTCAGATCCGCATCATATCTGCCGCAATATGGACATGTATGATCGTCTGTAATATGATCGGCGAAGTCGTTGTTGTCTCTGAAGGCTCGACATTGGCAGTAATGATCTTCTAGAAAGTGCCGGGATAGGTCTTGATGGTATGTGTGACAACATGTATGATGCGTATCGATATGCTCTTCCCACGGCACATCCTCAGGTCGACAATTACAGCAATGTTCGGATTCGATGTGTGCTTGTATGTCTGTGAAACACCGGTGACAGTAAGCGCAAGTATGCCGTTGTTCGATATAGGTTACCAGATTTTTAATATTGGATTGATAAATACCATGTCGTTGATGATAATGCTCGAGAAGTTCGCATCCTGAAATGATTTCACCGCAGAATTGGCAGGTCGATAGGTTATGAGAGATCAGATGCTCGTCTCTGGATGCCGCTTTTGTAACCATGCAGCAAACAGTGCAGGTGAAAAAACCTGGTACACTAGCCTCTGTGTAGACGCCCACATTACCGCGAGGATGTTGAGGGTGGAACGTTCTTGGAAACTGTGCGAAGTTGTTGGGGGGGTAAAGGGTGCTCAAGACACCTTTGCTTTCGAGGTCTTTAAAATACTCCAACGATATTTTCAAATCGTCAATAGTTGGCCACCTACTGGCAGTGATTTCCGCGGGGCGACAGTCAGGGTGACAGTGTAGCACAGCCTTTCTGTAAGCCTTCTGTGCTTCTTCATGTGTAGGGACAAAGCCGTGGGGTAGACCTAAAGCTATCCATGGGCTGAAGTGAAGTGCAAAATGCTTTACCATGACGAGCGACGAGTGACGACTAACGAGTGACGAGTGACGACTGACGAGTGACGACTGACGAGTGACGACTGACGAGTGACGACTGACGAGTGACGACTGACGAGTGACGACTGACGAGTGACGAGTGACGACTGACGAGTGACGACTGACGACTGACGAGTGACGACTGAATTCAAGGATCACGAGACTGAGTGTTGGTGGGGCTACGCTCAGCGCTAGGACCGCCTTATCTAGCCTGTGATCATGTGATAGGTGGGAAGTTTCTTCATGCACGGGCCACAGAACACTGAGGCACAATTTCAAATACCCAGCTCCTTCCTTTTAGCGCGCGGTAGAACCAGATGGATACTTAAATACGGAACGATACACAACTAATGGACTTCCTAACCCGATTTTAGGGAAAGGAAAAAAAAAAAACCATCCCTTACGTCTTGCTTCCTTTTAATTGCAATCACCCAGAAGGATGGAAGCGGCAATGCTTATGGCGGCTTAGCTGTGAAGATTAACAAACCAGGGCGAAGCCAAGCCCGTTTGTCTTTTTCTTATATAATATAACCGCGCGGTCAAGGAATAAAAATTCTATAGCCTCAGGTGTCACTATGCGCCATGAAACTGAAGAATTTTCGAATTTTTAATTTCTCAAAGGCTACAGCTCGTCTTTCAACGTGTTAATAATATATATAAACTTTACAAACGTGCTTCACTCAACCTAATAATAACTACCTATTACTAAATAATAATAAATATCTATATTAACATCAAGTCAAGATGATCCCAATTCTTTGCAAGGTCTACGACTCGTTTGGCCGCCTTTCGCGAGGTACTCGTGTTTCCCTTCGATACGGCCGGGCAGCCTGGCATGCTTCAACATCATCCCGAGGCGTCATCGAAACTTGGTACTTTAACAAAGTGATGGCGGAGGATATGGATGTTAAATGCTCTGTCGCAATAAACCAAGAGGAGTCTTATGGACATAATCTTATCACCCATTATTTTTCGGCATCCCGGATGGAAATCCATCTCGTCATTCTATGTCTCGGACCAAACTGTGGTAGTTCCAGCTTTCGCCTTATCTCTAAACCACTTAGCAGCACACATGCCCTACTGCTTCGGTCATCGTTATACACCCAAGGCGGAAGACCTATTCTGACAAAAATCGATAAAGTATAAAATAAACAATCATCTTAGTACGACACTGAAACTAGTCAGACTTTGCATTTCGGATCAGGTGGTTCATTTTCATCGTCATTTTTTTAAGGGCAAGGGCGAGCCGGGTCAAGCGGTGCAGCGACATCCGTGGTGTTAGAGGGACTTTGTGGGTCGGCTAGCTCATCCGACGTTTTGACCGGAAATCGGCCCGTTTTGGGCCTCGCAGCGGCACCGTCGTCTTCGGGAGGGCTTTTTGGATCGGCTAGCTCCTCCACCCTTTGACCGGAAATCGGCCCAGTTCGAGCAATGTGTCGGCATCGACGCTTTCGGGAGAGAGACTCTTTGGGCTTGGGTCGACCAGCTCGGGACGAGGACTCCAAGATTAGAGGGCAAGAATGTAACAAGGCTCACAGGAGACCATGTAGCACACACCCGATGGTTTTTTTTTTTTAAAATATGTTAACGTGCATTGTTTCCTATCTATTATTTATTACTTGCTTGATTTGCTGTTGTGTAGTTGGTGGTTATTTATTACAGTGGTTTATAGTTTATATAAATGTTTATTCTGCCTATCTTTTGATTTTTTTCAACTGTCTTTCGCCGCCAGCTAAAATGTGTCATCTCTTTAAAGAATAGTGCTCTATGCTTTGCTCATCAAGTTCAACTCAATATAGCCGCGGCGAAAGGCGATAAATGGTACTCTACATACTGTTTTAATGTTAACGATCTAAGGATCTTTCGGGAGCCGGCGAATATATCGATAGGATATATCGTGACATAGATAGCTATGGTGTACAGGCGGATGGGTCTACCCCGCTAGGTCGCTTTGTATCTCTTGCCATCAACGAACAGAGCTCTTCTGTTTATACCTAGGAAGTGGAACAGTAAGAGGCAGCTTTAAAGATAGTATAGCTAGGAGGGTTTCTTAAAGGAATATTAAACCTTTAAGTATAACCTAATTAAAGCGATTTAATATTTATATTATAACTTTAAAGATTAATATAATAAGTTTTATAAAAATAATATTAAATGCTTAAGTTTAATTCTTTATATAATAATAAAATCTTTTTATATATTTAATTATTTTTTAAGTTAAGTTTTTTAATTATTAATCTTATTTAAAATTTTTATTTATATTAATTATTAATTAAAATTTTATTTTATTTAATAAAAAAAGCTCTTTAAAGTATTTTAAATAAACTTTAATTAATTTATTTATTATTATTATAATTTAAAAAAACTTTTAATATAATTACTTTTACCTTTTAAGTAATATAAGGTAGATTTACTTTAAAAATTTATTAAATTATTATTTATAAGTTTAAATTTATTATTTATTTCTTTATATTTTTTTTATTTTTTATATAATATTATAAAAAAGACTTAAGATTTTTATATAATAATACTTTTAAAAACTTATTAATTTTTAATTAATTTATAAAATATTATTAAAGTATTAATTAAGTTTTAAATAAATTATTAAAGATTTATAATTTAAATTTTAATATATAAGGTTAATTTTATAAGTTAAATACTTTAAAAGATTTAATTTATATTAATTTTATAACTTATAAAAATATATTAAATTTTATATATTATTAAAGTAGTTTAAAAGTTAAGCTTTTTTAAAGTTAAGGATTTAATAATAAATTATAAGATTATAAATCTTTATTATTAAATAATTTAAATTTAAAACTTATAAAATATCTTTAATTATTATATTAAATTATATTTAATTATCTTTATTATAAGTTTAATTATAAAGCTTTTAATATTTATAATTTAAAACTTTAAACTTTAAGTTTAAGTATAAATAGGTTAAAATAAAATTATTTATATTAATAAAATATAAAGGTTTATTTTAAAGTTCCTTTAAATATAAATTAATTATAATATAATATATAATAAAGAATAATTATATATTAAAGGTACTTTTTAAAACTTTTTAAATTAATTAATTATTTATATAATATTTTTATATATTTAAAAAAATTTTAATAAAGTAATATATACTTTTAATATTTTTATATATTTAATAAGTTTTAAATTATAATAGGTTATATTATTATTAATTTTAAGGTTTTTATTATTATAAATAATTTTTTATTAAATAAAATAAATAAAAAGATTAAAATTTTACTTATTAAATATAAAATAATAATAATAAATCTTATAATAATATATTATATTATTTAAAAGGTTATTTAAAAAATTAAATATTTAATAATTAAATTAAAATAAAAAAAGGAAAAGAATTAATTATTAAATATATTATTTATTTAATATAAAAATAAATAAATAAAAAATAATATATTAAAAGTTAAATAAAAAAAGTATAAAATAAAAATAAAAAGAAGGGGAAGTAAATATAATTACCCCTTTTTATATTATAGCTTTTATAATATAAAAATTTTACTTTATTTTTAATTAATTATTTTAAATTTTTTAAAATAAATATTATATTAATAATAAAGTAATATTATAATATTATTTATTTATAACTATTATAGGAAATTTATTTAACCCTTTATATTATTTAATTTATTTTAAAGGAATATATTTTTATATTAAATATTTAAAAAATTATATTTAATATTTTATATATATTAAATATAATATAAAATATTAAATTTTACTTATTAAAACTCTTCCTTAAACCTTTTATTTAAATTAATTAAGTTATTTTATTAAAGTTAATAATTAAAAATTCCTTATTTTATATATAATAAATTATATTAATAGCTTTTATAATTAAAAAGAAAAAGAAGTTAAATAAAATTTAATTTATTTATAAAAGAAGTATTTTACTTTATTAATAATTATTTATAAATTTAAATTAAGTTTTTTTTAAGCTTAATTTAATATATTTAAATATTTATTATATTTAATTAAAATAAAGCAATAAGCTATTTTAACTTTATTTTAATCTTTTTAATTTATTAAGTATAAAGCTATAAATAAGTTATAATTATTTTATATATAAATATATTTATAATATTTTATTTATATTATTTAACTTTATTTATAATTATTTATTTATTATTTAATTTAATTATTAAAAAATAACTTATTATAACTTTTATTATATAAATTATATTTAATTATAAATTAATAATATAATTATATTATTTAATTGTTTAAGAATTTATTAAAGGGTAATATAATTAACTTTATAGCTTTAAATAAAGTATTTAATAAAATAGCTACTTTTTAAAAGATTTAATTATAATATTAATAGCTTTATTTTATTATTAATTATATAAAATAATATTAAGATTTATTTAAACTTTATTATTAAATTTAACTCTTTATAAATAAAAGTACTTAAATTTAATAAATTACTTTTTATTTAAATCTTTAAAACTTTAATATAATTTATAATATTTATATTAATACTTAATTCTTTAAATATATTAAATTAAATAAAATTTTTAATATAATACATTTATTAATATTATAGTTATATAAGGAAAAAGGGGTAAAACTTTTTAAACTATTTTATCTTTTAACTTAATTTCCTTAAGGGCGGTAAATAAAGATAGGAGCTAATATTATAAGAGTAGCCTTCCTTAAAACCAAATTATAAAACTAAATTAATTCTGGAATTGCTGTTATATATAGGGAATCTTTCTATATAATTAGCTAACCTATAGTTATATCTATAAGTTAAGTTAAATTTTGTTATAAAATATATAACATTTTATAATAGTGGATCTTTTTAATAAGCCGTTCCTTTATTGGTTTATAATACCGTCTTATTAAAGCTATAAATAATTATAAATATAGCACCCCAGTTTATATTTCTTTTATATACAGACACCTCGCTCTACACCTTTCTACAACTTACACATCACGACCTATTCTATCGTTATTCTTCCCTGACTTCATACCTTTTCAAATGTCGAGCAACTTACTCAACCACGCCTCTACTGATGGCAGAAATTTTGATCTAAATATATTAGAGAAAATTATACATCACCTTCTTTCTCAGGAGCTTAAGACTGTCAAGCTAATCAGCTCACCTTGGATCGAAGTCTTACGAACTACCAATGATCCCGAAATTGCCGGTCCCATCCTCCGACGTATAGAGGATGACTGTGCGAAGTACGAGCACGTCATGAGCCAATCCGTCAACCAAATAGAATCGGTGATCCATAGAGTTTCCTCTCGCATGCTACGCAATACTGAGAATGTAAACGAGCTGGTACGCAATCACAGAGACTGGCTTGGCCTGGGCCAGAGAATCTCGCCTCAAGTAGAGCCCGTAACAATCCCAAATATCACATATATTGATCTTACGGGGCCATCTTGTCGCATTTGCATGAGATCTATTGAGGAGTCGCGGGCTACAGTTTATAATAGATGTGGATGTGTAAGTTCTACTCTTCATCTTCCCTGGCCCTTTGGGCTATCTTACTTACTCAGCTAACTGTGTGCATAGATCACCTGTGAAGATTGCTTTCCTGCGGGCAAAAGAGAGTCCTGTGACTTCCTCGGGCATGAAATCTTTCGCCTCCAGGATTCGATTAGAATTTACGGCATATCTGACCCTTGTGGCATCTGTCACAATGTATTGCAGAGACTAACAAGACTACAAGGTTGCGGTACGTAACTATTTGCTCTGATTCGGCTTGTTCTCTAACATAAGCATAGGACATCTCTTTTGTAGAGGCTGCTTACTGTCCCTACGAAGGCACCGAAGCCGAGCTTGCCCAACATGTCGTCAAAGATGCTGTGATAGGGATACCTGTAGTGTTACCGACTGCTGTCTTTCTCTTCAATCGGAGTGATGTATAGGGTGGTGGCACAGCTTGCCTGTGACTAGCTGGAACGTTTAATGAGCTAGTTAACACAGCAACTTTAGGAAGTGTATGAATAAATATTCGCTCCATAGGTTCTCAACTCATATATAAGGCATATGATCTTACTCGGTGTATTAGTAAAATGGGTATCTAAGGATAGACCTATGCTAATATAGGGGCCCCATACACGTTTACCTTATTACGCACGGGCCACAAGGCCAAACACATGGCCTTGTGGCCCGTGCTCCAAGGAGGTAATTTAGTTTTGGCCACTCCAACCAGCCATCCCTCTTCTACATTCTCTAGATCTTCTGCGAGGAAAAGTGCAGCTGTGGTGAAAGGTGATAAACGGTACTCCATGTACTGTTCCAATGTCGACGATTTAAGGACCTCTGGAACCAGGAACTAGGCCATATACCAGGACGAGGAAACCTCCGAGCATTCTTGAATAAGCGTAAAACAGCCATCAAGGCCATCAAATTCATAGAATAGACGCAGGAAGAGAGTAAGGACGAGAAGGCGGAAGCTGGGGCCAGCTGGTTGTGCTTTGAGTTTTCAAAGCATAGCGAAGTGGGGTGACACAGATCAACATCCGGGCCGCGTCGGGCTGGTTGACTAGCTCTGCCAACCGGGCATAGCTGCGGATGAAGGAGCGGCTGAAACCGAGTAGGAATTAATCAATCAATCTTCTGCGATGGACAGCCCATTCGATGCGCTCGGCCTTGACCCTAGGCTGGCATTTACACCAAACAACAAGTTCAGCGGGCTTTTACGAAAGCTTCGCTCATCTGCCGCCCCCAAGTCCATCTTTCAGGCCCCGCTGAAAGTGGCCCATATCCTAAGCATAACCAGGTATATCTACCACAGCTAACTACGACGGGTTTAGTTTGGAGTTCAAATATAGATAGATTTCTGAATTCCAAGCCTCTTAGCGCGCGGCCTGTATCTAGTCGACGGAGACTTTAGGTTAGCCGATGTGCAATCTAGGTTGTTTCTTTTTTATTATCTCCTTTACGGGCAAGCGCGCGCATCAGGTGCCGCATTAACGCCCCCAATCGCCTCATTTTTTTTTATTTCTATTTTCTGTTCCATTTAGCGTAAAGCGCCTAGTCTAGCCGAGGCATCTATAGAACTAGTGGTTACATCGGCGTTCAAAGAGACGATATATAATATGGATAATATCCCTCAGTCCTCGTGCTAATTGTAAACTTTGACGACTTAATGGACTTAAGGTCTTTAAGTCAGTTTCCCGAGATCTAACCCTAGCCTAAGAATGATAGACGTTGTATAATGGTATGCCGTTGCCTTTAAGGCCGGGCTTACAGCCTTAGCTTTTCGGAAGTTATTAATACTATTTAATTCTTTTATTATACTATAACTATATTGCTTATTATTAAGGTATATTATATATCCTTTATTAATTAAGTAATAATATTAATTAACTATTACTTAATCTTATATAATCTTTATTTCTTTATATTTATTTATTAATATTATTACTTTATTTCTTTTTTTAAATAATATAAGTAAAATATAAGCTTATTTAATTATACTTATTATAATTAATATTATTCCATTACTTTTTATTAAATATATAAATATATTAAATAATTATTTAAGCCTTTTTATAATAATTTATTTATTAAACTATTATATTATTAATATAATAATAATTTTATATACTTTTATTTATATAAATATTATATTTATATTTTAATTTAATAATAAATTAATATAATAAAGATTTATATTCTTAATTAACCTTAATATTAAAAGCTTTTAAAGCTTTATTAAATATCTTTATTCTTTTTATTATAAGCCTTTTTATTAAAATATATTATTAAGCTTATAAACTTTTTAAGTTTATTATATTTAATAATATTTTATAGCATTTTTCCCTTTTATCTCTTATATTTATTATAATAAAAATTATATTTATTATTTTATTAAACTTTTATCTTTTCTTTAATTTTATTTATATCTTTAAGGTTTAATTCTTTAATATAAAGGTAATTATTATAAATATATATTTAAATAATTTTAAAGCTTTAAAGTTTATTATTTTAATAAAGCGCTTAATATATATATTATTAAATAAATATTTTTATATTTTTATAATAAGCTTATTTTAATTTAATTTTTATAGTTATTCTTTTATAATTATACCTTTTAATTTAAGTTTAATATAAAGGAATAATAAACTTATATTTTATATTATAAATGTATTAAAAAGCGTAAAAGATTTAAAAATAAAGTAAAAGCTATAGCTTAATAGTTTTTATAACTTAAACCTATATTTAAAGATATATAAAAACTTAGTTTTTATTATATAAAGAATTAAAATTCTTAAAATACTTCCTATTACTTTTTATATTATTAATAAAAAACGGTAAAATGTTTAAAAACCTTAATTAATAATTAAATTAAATATATTAAAGGTTAAGTTAAAAGAGGTTAAAGATAAACGTTTTAAATTAAAGTAAAACTACCGCTTAATAGATTAAGCTTATTTAATTTATTTAAAAGATAAAATTATAGGTTTATATAAAGCATTAAATGTTAAAGGAGCTATATAAAAGAGTTACTTTTAAGATCTTATATAAAGGATTATTATTTTATAAGTTTTTAATTATAATTCTTAAGTATAATAAATTAATAAATAAATTTAACTTCTTTAAAAATTTAACTTTATTTATATTAATATATTTTAAGCTATATTATTTAAAGTTTATTATTAATATAATACTTTATATTATAAACTTTTATTATTTTATAATATATATTTCCTTTATTTAAGATTATAAATCCTTTCTTTTAATCTTTAAATTATTTTATTTATCTTTACCCTTTTAATCTTAATAATTATACTATTATAAACCTTATATTTAATTTTTATAACCTGTTTTATAAAAGGTTAAAAAATGAAGTATATATATTTAAAAGCTTTATAATCATTAATAAATATTTATTTAAAAAACATTATACTTATATACTTATAAGTTTATAACTTATAGGAATATAAACTTTAAGAAAACTATATAATTTAAAGTAATTAAAACGATTAAAACTATTTATTTAATTAAATTAATTAATATTAAATATTAATTAAAAGAGTAAACTTTAATTTTATTAAAGTATATATAATATAAAAAAAATAGGGAAATAGGAATTTAAAATTTTATATAGAGTTATATTCTTTAATAATTATTACATTTTTTATAATTATATTTATTTAATTAAAAAGGGATAAATATATATATTTTACTTTTATAACTTTTAATTTCAAGCTTTAAAAGCAGTATTAATTATATATATAAAATATTAAATATATATTTAAACCTTAAGCGTTGCCCTTTTCCTCTTCCTCTTCTTTTAAGTAATTTTACTAGATTTATTTTTTAGTGAGAGTACAGTATACCAGTGTTGGTGCCGTATCCGTCTCCGTTTACATTGCTCACTGAGGTGCCGAAGGAACTCCTTATATTGTTGTTGTGCCGCGGTTTTTCCGGTGCTGGAATTGGTCCAAGAAATATAGAGATGTAGCTGGCCTTGGTCGCCTTGGGCGGTAATATTTCTTTTAAGCGTATCAGTAGGCCATTTCGTAAAATATTAAACGGTGTTAGGGTATTCCTTAAAGTCGGTGCTGCTTTGTCTCCGAGCCTTCGTCTTCTATGCACTAAGTTCCTTGATATTAGGGTGGAGTATTATCTTTGGAATATCTTTGTTGTGATATATAAGAACGTAATTAAATATTTCCCTTAACTGTTGTGTAACCTTGAGTTGTTGTAAAGCTTTAAGACCATCATCCGAGAAGAGTTCAAGGAGCATGCTACGTATGGAGGGGAGCGATACTAAGTCTATATTGAGAGAAGATATAGCGTAATCTTTAGTTACGAGTATATGTTCGGGTTCAAGGTAATGTGGTAAATAATGAGCTGAAATAGGTGGAAAAATGGAGAATGTGATGCACGAAGTGCTGGATACAAGTTTTCTTCAGTTTTTTTTTTTTTTTTTTTTTTTTTGCTACGTAGATCATTATTTATTTAAGCTCCGGAAATCTTCCCTAATACTTATATTTTTAATAAAAGGCTATGCCTTTTAGAATTTAAACCTAAACGGTTACATTGTTTCTTAATGAATCATTCTATAGTATTAAATAGCAATATGATATAAAGGTATCTTCGGACCTGTTAGTCTATCAGCGCTTATGCGAGGCCACCCCACAACCGCACCAGGACAGGCATTGCCACCCCCTAAATTAAAAGTCAAACCGCAGATGATAGTAGACCTACATAGGCAGCAACCATGTAAGGAAATTGCTGCTCCGGAATGAAGGGCACCTTGCCACTCTTGTGGAGCCTTAGGGACGGCCACTTGAGCAATGGGCAGTGTCTCATGATACTACAGCCTGAGCCAAGTTCCTGCTATAGTCTGTAAAGAGCCTGGTGGATATTAGGGCTTTCGTTTAGGTAGCCCCCGACTACCGGTTTCTCTATTGCGCCTTTATAATAAAACGCCTAAAGCTACTCGGGTAGCAAGAATGCGGGAACTCTGCGTTAGCTTAGGGGACCTGAGTCAATATGCCTCCATGCCCCTTTCTGATCTTAGGTCTCCTCGAATTCAGATATAGAATGCTTCTAAAGGAGTGGATTCAATATAACCCGTGAATACTGAGACACTTTACCAGCACCAATGCCCAAAGTAGGTCGAATAGGGTATAGCTTTGTTACTATCTATAGGGGCTCCAGTAAGGCAGAATTAAATAATAAATAGCTTTAATAATATACTTATTAACCTTAACTTAATTAAAGTAAGAAATAATAACTTAAGTAAAATATAATATTAAATTAATATAATATAATTTATAGCAGTAAAGGTATTATATAAAACTAATTATACCTATTATTATAACCTTGAATCCTTTTTCTATATACTGCTTTAAATATATACGTGTTAATCGTGGAGTAATGGATTTATTTATAGTAAGGAGAAGCCACTTAAGGGAAGCATTCTTTAAAGGTAAAAGATTAGAACATTCGATTCCATTATAAATATTAAGGAGGGCTATATAACGGCAAATAGTATTAAGAGAATTATAAGTAAATTTTTAAAGTTATTGGATATTGTAAAGCTATTTTATTTAAAGATTAAGAAGATACTTTTTCCTTTAAATAAAGATAAAGAAATAAGCTTTAAAACCTTTATAAAAGACCCTAATCAACTTTATAGCCCTATTATTGCAGCATTTAATAATGCTATAAAGAATATATAATAAATTGGAATATTAATGTATTCTTTTTCTATATAACATTAATAGATATAGATAATTAAAAACTTAAGTGGATTTATAAAGACAGCAAGCATTCCTTAACAGTATACATTACCTATAGCGACCTAACACTGGTAATGTAAAATATGACTTTTAAAACTTTAACATAGAACAGATGTAGATCCTATAGCAATTCAGGATCAAGAGATAAGCAGACAAAGCCTAGCATTGGGTGGAGACTAAAGGTAATCAGCTGTAGGGCTACCTAGGGTGCTGCTCTTGGTGGTTCTCCTGCTGTAGTGGTCCCCTAACAGATGCCACGTCTAGCACCTGGTTTCAGGGGTTCTTGTTCTCCTGTCCCCACTATCTTGATTCCTAACGGCGCTGGAACCCCGGGACTGGTGGGCTGTAGGGATGGTAGACGTTAGCTTTAAGGCCAGCATCTAATACCTAAGATCGGCGTTGGGAATCCACGATGGTGACTTCATTGTCATGCCAAGATGATGGGAGAGTCGTATTTGCTGGCCTTGGAAATGCGCTACTCGTTTCGAGTACGTCGTTTGGCCGCCTCATGTGATTCTTGTAAAATTCGAGCCTTTCGACAAGGGTTGCACAAGGGAGGTGGGCGATACCGCCCGAGCTAGCTGTACATTGAGATAGAAGATCGCGAGACGGATGCTATGGATCAATTCGACGCTGCATGCGGCTTGTTTGTTTGGGTTCTCAAGTGATGATGGCTACAAGGTGTATTTTCTATTTATTCCTTGCTGTAAAAGCCATGATAATCTACAATTACCATAGTATATCTGCCATACGACCAAGTAGAATATGCATGTGTGTCATTTTGGGCATCTGTGTGAGATTTGTGCGAGGTCTCTGCATCCCTTCCCCTTTGGCTCATCTGATCACCTAGACTACCATACTAAGCTGACCATTCAAACCTCCCCATCCTCCAGGTCGTATGGGTTGCGGGTATACTGCTTGTTTCCGTCTTCAGTCTCCAGAGTCTTGGGTTTACTGTCGTGTAGGCTCTGTCGCTTTCTAGGCCTATCGCCGCCGTGGCCGTGGTCGCGATTGAGAAGTGGCTCGTAGTGGGCTTTAGCCGTGGCACCGTCTTCGAAGCTAGCTTGGGCAGCAAGTTTGTTCCAATCGACCTAACATTGTATTAGCTATTGCGAAGGGGCTTAAAGAGAGGGGGTACGAGTGAGGAACGTATAACTGGCTTCGTCTTAAAGTATTCCTAAAGTTTAGCGATAGCTATTATGTCCTTTGCGGTGATCTTCTCGGACGCCATGCTAATTTATTACGGAGATTAATTCGGGATAGGAGATAATCAAGGGCGCGTAAACACTATTGTGGAGGAGGAGGTGTGGACGAAGGTGAGAATGCGAATATAAGATGGTTGTTGCAGCATAGAAAGGAGTTAGCTGGTGTGGGCATACAGGGGAGGAGAGGGATGGCTCAACCTACCCCACGTTAGTCTAATCGCGGTTCGTGCCGCGCCAAAGGTGCCTATGGGTTAGGTAGGTAGGTAGCGGTAGTAGCCAGCCCGCGCGTTCGCCTAGATAACCCCTTAGCTTATAGTGGGGTAGGTAAGGTACTCTCCCCGCTATGTTAATCTTGTTGTTAAAAGAAGTTGCAGTAAATAATAGAATATAGACGTAGTACTTTAATTTATGCTGGTAGATGATTATTACCTATTAGCCCCTTAAGCATGCTTAGTCGGGGGCATATCTATATCTGTGCCAGTGCTAGCACCAGCCCGCAATCCTGTTGCCCCCCTAAAGATCGCCACTTGCTATAGTAGAACCTACCCCTTTTCCCCTGCCACGCTCTTAACAATTTAATCATACAGCCCTACAATCCTATAGCCCAAGGACAGAAGTCTAGTGTAGTGGATGCATGGCGCCTCTGCCGAGCTTTGGGCCGAATCAATGCGAGTTCACGTGACGTGGGCATCGAACTGGCGGCGCGGGGGATTGGGGGATCAGTTGGATTAACCCCGCGACACCTTTATATTCTGTGTATTCTACACTGAGCCAACCCGCCAGGCCAAACTTTTATTAGTTTATAAGGAATTCCTTAAACCCGACTTTTTATAAATGTTTGGACAGTATGAGTACAGCTAACTACGCTATAGACAATTATTAGCATCAACTCCTAAGTTGTACATAAAAACACATAAGCCTTTAATATTAATATTAATAAGTTCCAATTAAAAAGATAATTAATAAGTAATAAAAATAAGCTTATAATAATAAATTAATAATAAATACTTATAAGTTTTCCCTTTATATAAGTTTTATATATATAATTATATAGTTAATCTATTACTTTTATATAGTTTAATGTAATATTATAAACCTATATTAATTTTTATATTTTAATACTTAAGATAAAGAAGTTAATATTATATATTATTTATAACTTTAACTTTAAGCTTTTAATTATAAATCTTAATAATTTATAATTTATATAAAATTTTTAATTTATAAGGCTTTAAGGTTTTAAGGTTAAAATTAAGGTTAAGTATTTATAAAAAAGATAAAATAATATAATTTTTATAATATTAAAGATATCTTTAACATTTACTTTATTAAATAATATATTTAATTAAAGCTATTATATTTTATACTTCCTTAATAAAAAACTATTAATTTATATTAAAATTTAAAATATATATATATAAATTAAATTAATAAACTTCTTTAAATTATATTTATTATTTTTATAAATATATAAATATTATTTAAAGAAAAAAAACCTAATTTTATATAAATATATTTTAATACTTTATATTTTAATTATTTATTTAATTAAATAAACTATATATTATTATTAATTTTATATATTAATATTTTATATAAACCTTATATATTATAATTAATATAATTATAAATTATAATATATTTAATATATTAAATTTATATATATTTTATATCTTTAAAATATAATACCTTTAAAATAAATATATATATAATATTTTATATTTTAATTCTTTATAATATATTATAATTTTTAAAAATAAATTATTATACTTTATTAAAATTAATCCTTATCCTTTAAAATGTTTTTTAATAATAATATTATTTTAAATAGCTATAAAAGCTATATATATAATAAAGTAATAATTTTAACTTTTAAATTATTTATAAAATTAAATATCTTTAATTATAATTTAAGTTTTTTTAATATATATTAAACCTTTATTTAAATATAATAAATATTATTAATTATATATATAGGAATTTAATTATATTTTTAAATCTTTATAAACCTTTAATTTAATTAATTTTAAAATTTTAAATAATTAATTTATTAAATTTTATAAACTTTAAGCAATTTATTATAAAAGTTAATTTATTATATTTTATTAAATATAACTTAATATAAAAGCTTAAATTTTATTTATAATAATAAATAAAATAACTTTACTTTATAAAATATTATTTATTATTAATTATTTAATTTATAATAAATTATTTTATAATATATTTAAAGTTATAAAGTAAAATTATTTAATTATCTTTATAAAGTATTATATTAATATTATAAATAAAAAATATAAATAAATTAATTTATTAATTATTTAATTAAAAGTTAAAATATTTTTAAATATTAAAAGTTTATATAATAAAAGTTATAAAAATAAAACCTTTTAAAGCTAAATTAAAAAGTATAACTTAAATAATATACCTTTATATAATTAAAAAGTATATAATATTATATATATTATTTTAAAACTATAAAGAATAAAAAATAAATTTAAAATTAAAATAATATAATAAATTTTATAAATAAAGAATAATTAAATAAAATAAATTATTATTATTAAAACTTTACACCTTTTAATAAATTTAATAAATATATTATTATTTAAATTTTTAATAAATAAAACTATTATAATTATATTTAATTTTTAATTAATATTATATATAATTATTTAACTTTTAAATATTATTAAAAGTATTTAACTTTATTCTTTATTATTAAAAGCAGTATATTAATATAAATTAAATGCTTAACAACTTAGCAGCTATATTAGTTATACTATATAGAGTAAAAGGCTCGAGGGGCTTAAAGGTACGCTCAATTGGGACTCGGCCCGTCATAGCCGTGCGGGAGCCTTCAAGCTCCCCCTTAAGTTCGAATGTCCTATGTTAACAAGGGCTGAATGACCTCATTTGCCAATGTGGCCAAGAATGCTATTCCACCCAAGTCTTCAGCACAATCCAGTGCGTACGACTTCACCGCGCAGTTCGCGCGCACATTCCGTATGACGCAATCTCTTTGGTCATTAGAGGGCTGAGCGGCAAAAATCTTATAACAACTCTTAAGATAACGGTGGTTTTCAATTATGACTTCACTAGTAACAGCTATAATTATAGTTATAGCGGGATAAAAATTAAGAAAAAAATTTTTTTTTCTTAAATAAATAGTTCAATGCCTTAATAGCTAAACTATAACCTTATACATTATAAATTTTATATATATCTTTTAACATTTTTTATAGTTTGTAGTAATTAGGTTATGCTATTATATTACCATTGTTTATTTATCGTGATTATACGAGTTTGCGAAAGCAGAAACGTCTGCCTTTAATTAGAGTTCATTTACGTTTGAAAACGTGATGATGGCGAGAAAGGGCGTCGTTGACTAGTACTGGCCATACGCTTTCTGTCATTCGATAGACGTTACCGTTACGCTTCGGGGTCCGCGCCGAACCACACGCGATAGCTTCGCACCACTAAATCTCGGAGCAAAGCCCGAACTAGATCTGAACTATCATTCGCCAGCTCACTGATTGTATGGAGCCACTGAAACTGCTGTACGAGACTGAGCAACACACCATTTCTATCATATGCCCGAAGCAATGGAGGATTATCGGTCCCGACACAGCCATCATGTCGCTTGCAGTGATCTGGTCGGAAATCGAGAAGGCGCATATTTTGGGAATGCGATTGCCGGCGACGTGGGTTGATATCAATGTAGAATTGGGTGTTATTTTGTACGGAAAGAGAAGGAAGTGTGCAGGAAACACGAGGGTTTGAATAGAAGAAGCAAGGCACTCGCCTGCCCCGCGCGTTAATGGTAGCGTTCCGTAGAGCTACGCGGGGTAGAACGCAACGCGATCTGGAAATCAATTGCTACACATGACATGCACCCGAAGCCTGACTCACGAACTAGGTTCTGTATCGAAGACGCCCAAGCTTTAACCGATCTTCTTGTTCAGGCTGCTTCCTTCGCCCGCTGCAGCTGGTCAATGTGTGAAAGTCCAGGTTCTTCTTTCAGATGGTTCAGGCCCTGATAAGTAATCATTGTTGAGCGGTGCGAGGTAGCTTGCTGTGAGAGCCACGGCCACTGGACAATAGGCATACGTATGCGCACTTACCCGGGTACCTAACCTACTACTCTGAGTACAGATATCTATAGATGCATATCTGCCACGACTACTTGGTGGTCCATATTGTTTTATTCTCAATATTAGTGCGATACCACTGTACTAATGCGTTATTTGTTGCCGTGGTGTCAAAGTACTGCTACGTACCTATATATGTACGATTACTCTCTCTCCAAGAGAACTCTTGTGTTCTACAAGCCTCCCGTCGCCCTAAATGACTACAGTACAGTATCATTTTGGTATCCAGTCAATTGCGACATATCTATCCTCAGTGGGATGTTTATGCTCTTCCTAATAGGGTTGCCCACTAGTCGACTTGTCCACCCGTATGGGTCAGGATCATCAATAATCCATTCGGTCATTGGGAAGAATTGCTCATCCCTCTTCATAGGTACAGCTCCAGTCGCCTGAGACGCGCCGTCCCGTGTTTTCCAGGTAGTTCAAAAGGTAGTAACTCCTTCACTTGTCTATATCCTCTGTAGAAGTCTATTTAGACTAAAGACCAATATATGTACCTTTCCGTAAGAGTAGCTCTCTATGGGTGCCAGATTCAGTAATCTTTCCATTAGAGACAACATAAATCATATCGGCTTTCCTTGAACGTCTGCTTCCGAAGCCCCCCTCCGAGCAAATCGAACATTTTCTAGTACCGTGCCGTGGAAAAGCTGCTGGGATTGTGGGACAATGCCCATAACCGATCGTAGGCTTGTCAAATACATTAGTACTTAAAAGTATTTCGGGTCCTAAGGTTGTACATAATGCGGAGTGACTCCATACCTCATCTTAATAACTCGTTTAATATCTTGTTCATCGATAGAAATAGAGCCTTCCTAAACATTATATAGCCTTTAAAATAAATTATAATTTACATTTTAAAATATAAAGCACTATATAAATTAATTATACCTTATCTTTATTTAAGCTTATAATTAATAAATATTTATAAAGAAATTATTAATTAAAAAACTATCTTTACTTTAATTAATCTTAAAGTATAATTTTAATATTATATTAAAAAACTAATAACAGTTACCCTTATATAAATATATTATTATATAATCTTAAATGGACTTAAATTTAATTTATTAATTATTAATAAAGCTATTATATTCTTTAAAATTAATTAAGAGGAATTAAATATATTATATTACTATTTAACGGAACTTAAATCCAAAGTAGCCGCCTACCCATATAACCTCCAATCCTGCATAGCCGTAGGCTAATACCTTGCATTCGGTTTAATAGCACTCGGGTCCCCGGGTTAATAACGAAAGAATAAACAGAATAAGCATAAGCGGATTAAAAGAACCCTTAAAACATAGGCTAAAGATGTTAAAAGTACATTGCACTTTATCCTAACAAACGAAAGATAAGCACCGAATACCTCTTCAACTTATATGCCTACTACTTACTCGACCTTTGATCGGTCGCTAATTGTGACAAGGGTCCCCATACAACTTTCCAGGGCGCGGGATGTTGCCCCAGCCTCGAACTCCTCTGCGGCACGTGAAAAGGTGCAGCTTATTTTGGGGTATTCGCGCTAAGCGTTGGACAAAACTTCTGAAATGATCCTCTGTACCTGCATTCAACTTTTAATCATCTGAGTTGCCTATCGCTTTACCGCAACCTGAGTCTTAGAGCGGGGCTGTGTCGCACGTTAAAGGTATTGCTGCGCTACTCTCTACTACTAATCACCACCACTTAGGAGGGCAACCACGCCTAACAGGATTTGGGGAGAAACTGGGCCTGTAAAGGACTCGATCCATAATAAAAGTATTAATATACGATAAAACAATTAACGTATTATTAAAAGTGCTATATTAATTAAGTATAAGCTATTTATATTAAATTTTTAAAAAACATACTTTAAATTATTATATAATAGTAAAATATTTTATTAAATATAATATTTACTTTAAAAATATTTAATTAAAGGAAGACCACTTAAAGTATTATTTATAACATTAAATAAAACGTTTATAATTTAATTATAACCTCTTTAATATAATATAATTTTAAATCACTTTATTAATTTAAAATTTATTTAAATAAAAATATAATAAAATTTATAAATTTAATATTATTATTAATAATAAATTAAATTATAAAATAGAAAACCTTATAAATTAAGGTTAAAAAGGTAATTATTAAACATTTATTTAATATTAAATATATTATATAAAGTAGTTAAAGAAGTTATAATACTTTAAAAAAGGTTATAAAGGAAAATTTAATACTTTTTAAAAGTTTATTTAATATTATTTTACTTATATAATATTTTAATTTTTATATTTAATTAATAAAGTTTAATATTATTAAATTTTAAATAAATTATAATTAAAATTAAATTTATAATTATTACTTTAATATATTTATAAAAATAAATACATTTATATAATATATATATAATATAAAATAATTAAAATAAAAGTAAATATATAATTAAAAAAAGTAGGTTAAAATTATTTTTAATTTAAATATTATTAATAATAAATTAATTTAATAAAAAAAATATATAAAAGTTAAAACTTTAACTACTTTTATTTAAACTTTAATTTATATTATATAAGTTATATAAAGAATATTATTATTAAAAGTAAACTTTAATAAACTTAATACTTTAATAAATATTAATAAGGATATTTAAAACTATATATTATTATAAAAGTAATTAATTTTATAATTAAAAGATTAAGAATAAAATAAATAATATAATAAAATAGGTATAATAATATAAATATATATTTATTATATACTTTAATTTAAAATTAAGATTTAAATATTATAATTAACACTTTAATTAAGGTTAATTAAATTATTAAATTATTAATATAATGTTAGCTATAATACTTTAAAAGTGTTTAATTGGGCTTATTTTATATTATAAAGTTATTTAATATCTTTAAGTACATTAATTACCTTTTCCTCTTTATCTTTCCGTTTTTTAATTATAAATAAATAGTTGGATATTACTTATTATATAACTTATAGGTTTATTAATAATTTATTATATATTAAATAAAGTAATAATAATTAAGTTAATAATTTTATATATTATTTTCCTTTATTATAAACTTCTTTATAGGATAATTTAAAAGAATAATATTTTTAAAAATATAATTATTATTATTATAATATTTTTCATTTATCTTTAATTTATAAAAATTAATATAATATTGCTATTTTAAATATAAGTTTAATAAATAAATAGTTAAGTTATTATTTACTTTTAAATCTTTTTTTTTAACTTAATTATAAAAACCTTAAAGGGTTATACCTTATAGGATTTAAAAAGGTAATTTAATTAAATATTAATTAATAATGCTTTAAATATATTACTTTAATAAATATAAGTATATAAAGTTAATTAAAGTTCATTTATAAAATTCTTTTTAAGTATTAATATATAATATAACTTAACTTTAAAATTCTTAAAATTATTAATATTATATAATTTATTAATATATTATTTAATTTCTTTATTCTTTTAATAAAAAAATTTATAATTCTTAAAGAAGTATTATATATTATTTATAAATATAAATAAGGAAATTTAATTTATTTTAAAAAGATTTATTATAAAGCTTAATAAAGCTATAAGTTTATTTTTAATATTTATAATAATAATAATAGTTTAATATTATATAAAAGATTTTTTAAAGGTATAATGCAGCTTTATTATTAAATTTTAATTTAAGCTTAACCATTTTTATTATCCAATATATATATAAGTAAAAAAGCTTATAATAAAAATATATATTTTATATAATAAACCTTTTATATATATTTCCTTATTAATAATACCTAATTTTCATTTAATGCTTAATATATAATCTCCTTTATAAAATCTAAGCTTTAAAGTATACTATATATATTATTCCATAGGTGGATGATTAATTTAATTATAGGTTATAAAGCTAATAACTATAATGCTTAGCTGCGCCAATTATAATAATGGGAAAACCCTTAAAGGGATAAACTACACTTTATATAACCTAAGAGGCAAATAAAACCGTACGGAAGACAAGTCCCGGAGGTCTAGCATAGCTAGCAACCATGGAAAAAGACATGGGGATTTGGAAATAGGAGTAGCATCAAAGTGAATAATTCACAGTTCTTGTCCTGCTCCTAAAATCAGGGATGTGTCCCCAAGCAAGCAAGAGTTGCTGATTCCCGATACATGAAATGGTCTTAATGGTCTAAATGGTTTAAATGGTATATGATGGAATTTAAATGCTCATCTCTCTGCCTCATGACGCAGGGAGTGGGGAATACGATCTGTGCAGTGCAGTCGGGGTACTTACAACACACGACAAAGTAACTGATTGGTTAGTTCGCATGCAGGCTACCTTTGGATTAGCGGTGTGGTTGCAATGCATATCCTAGTCGCGATCTTTTCCGGTGCGTCGCGTCGAATTCTAGGCATTGCTCAAATCGCCGACCATCTCGGTTCCTTCGTAGTAATGTTCTCAGTTTACAGAAATGACTATCCAGAGGTGGTTGTTGCAGCGCTCATGACCCATTCAGCTAACTGTGCTCATGGTCGAAGAGTACGATCGAGTTCGCGATGCCAGCGGGTCGCATAGCCCCTTTCTGAACCCGGTAGTGTTTTAACCCTTGATGCCGGATAAGGATCGCACCTGGGGTGATCGATAATATAGCAATATGGAGGCAATGGGGAAGTGGGCTAGTCAGGATTATTTGTCCACTACCATGCCGGAAGTTGTCCCCGGAAGGCTACCTCAGCTAATTCAAGACCTTAGGTTGAAGTGCCGCCGCCATTCAAGGGCGAGGCTGCATCTAAGATCCTCGTACATAGCCCATAGGTGCTAGGTTTATACACATCGCTTAGATTAAGCTATCCGTCTCGTGTTAGGGCTAAGGTATTATTAGCAACCGCCCAATTTTTAAGCTCACCGTTATTTTTCAAAATGGGAAAGCAAAACGTGTCTAAAGTACGCACGATACAGTGCCCGCCGGGTCTAGGAACGGTACATCGATGAAGACATGGAGGATAATTAAACTCCTTACAATGCGTTACAGGACAAAAATCAAAATAAGTCACCGGATTCCCGGGCTGGATATTCTTACAATGTAGCGCTATTAAAAATATAAGTTATTAAATATCCTACTATTATTATATCTTAAAATTAATTTTAAAAATTAATAATTTATTTAATTAAACTATTAGGCTTATTTATTAAACCACTTATAACTATAATAATGTTAAATCTATAAAGAAGTTATCTATATATATAATTAAATATCTTACATTATTAATAATTAAATAACTTAAATGGCTATATGTTTAAAAGTATAACATTAATAAAAGTTCCCCACATTATTAAACTAGATAAAGATAATATAATAAAGATAAATAAAACACTAATATAATAGAAGTCCACTGGTTAAGGCATTCACTTTCCTTAATTAATATATACGGTATATTAAAACTAGGTCCTAGGATTATAACATTTATACACATCGATAAATAATATATATTAAATAGATATTTATAACCCAAACAGCTAATCTGTCTTAGATTAGTAGTGCTACAACCAGGATACCTATATCAGCTTTCGTTCTTATTTTTGCTTTAGCCGGGCCTCCTCTACGTTAAAAGCTAAGGACTCATAGCATTATCGATATCATGAGCGCCGGATGGGTCTTTGAAGAGAGGCGCTAGCTGATCCCATCGCAGCTATCTAGGCACCATTGTGATTATCCACTCCAACTGCCTCAGGTGGCTGTTAATCTTAAATATTAATAATGCGTAAGCAGGAATCTAGCCTGTATACGGTTTAATTATCAACGTGTATTATAAGTTTAGGACTGTATATACTTACTGTCTTGCTTCCTCCTATTAACCGGTTGCCTTATTGGTTATTTTTAAATATCCTTTATCTTTTCCCCGGCTTACGATAAATAATATGCCCAATACAAGCCTCGTAGAGCTAAGTATATTGCTTGCTCTATCTACCATTAATGTAACGGCGGTTCTGGTCTTTGCTGCCATAGCAATCTTTGGGCGCAAACTTGGTTCGAACCTGCTCGGCTCACAAGTAACTGCCATCTTATGGATTAGTCGACTCACCATTCAATCTGGTGTCACAGTAACAGCTACCCTGTGTTATTGCGCAGTAATAATTCCTAGGCGCAGCCATGCCATCTTTACCTTTGGTATTATTGTCAACGTTGTTACTGAAGTATGTACATTCAGTTTAACCAGCCATTATTGCTAATCAATGTATAGTGGATAAGACAAGCAGAACTCTTTGGCCCTACTCTAGGTGTCCCTTTGACAAAAATGCGATTCATTCCTGGATTATTAGCACTCTCTTATATAGGATCTCTCGTACCAGACCTATTCCTACTGCTTGGTCAGTGGCCGGAAATCGCATTGATTGTTGTCTGCATCCTACACCGGCTATCGATTGCCACCATCGTACCGACTTACCGTCTATTCTACCAACATACACCTATACCATGGCTTTGGGTGGCTGGAAATATTTTGGGCGCGACCGCCCTGTTTGGTGCTCTAGGACTCAACTCACTCGGCTGTCGGCTTGTAAGTTTATACATGTTTTAATAGCACATTTTGACTGATAATTTTAGTATCTATATGCCGTATCCTCAGCATTTGAAATTGGTTTTGGCATTGCTATTATTCTCGCAAAGTATTAAAACAGCACAATGACAACGCTCTTTAACAGTCGGCCACCCTTGGATAACAACAGAGAAATGCTTTCCGAGTCACAGTTAAAACCGGGATCGCGTTTTAGTGTGGACAGTGAAAGGCCTTCTTCACGTTAGGATTTCTAAAAGGGTTGGTAATCAGTCTCTAAAACGTTCTATAGATACATCCTTGCCTTATATTATTTAAAAGGTAGTGTTTAGCCTTATATACTTTAATAGATTTAATTAATTTATTAAATTTAATAAATTATAAAGTTTTTAATATCTTTATATACCTTATTTCCTTTTTTTATATAATTTTAATATTTTTTATTAATTATTTATTTAATTTAATTCCTTAATTATTAACTTCACTTTATTATAAAACTTATTTATTTAATTATTATTTAAATGTTTATCCTTATATAATAATTAAAGGTTTCTTTAAGCCTTTTATATTAATATTACTTTATTTAAAAAAATATATTAATTTTATAGCTTTAAGGTTTAATTAAATTAAGGTATAATATTATTCCTTTTATATATAAAAAGTAATATATTATTAAAGCTTTACCCTTAAATAAAATAATAGCTTAATTATCCATTTTATATAATTATTAAAAAAAGTATATTAATAAATTTAAGATTAATTAAAAACTATATATATATATTATAATAAAAAGATAGTTTTAAAAATAAAGATTTATATTATAATATATTTAATAAATATACTTTAACTTTATTATTTTAATATATTTTTAAAATATATATATTAATTAAAAGAATATTTAATTATAGGGTTTTAATTATTTAAAAGTTAAATAAATAAATTAATATATTATTAAACTTTATAAAAGTAATATTAATTTAAATAAATGATTAAGTTTTATATAATAAAGAGTTATAATATAAAATCTTTAAAAATTTATTAAATAAAAAATAAATATATAATTTATATTTAACATTTAAGTTATTAATATTAAATTAAACTTTATTAAACTTATTATAATTATTTTTATTAAATATACTTTATATATTATATATATTATTTATATTTAAAAATAATTCTTTTAAATTAATTCTTTAATATATAATTTTAAATAAATATATATTATAAAGCTTTTAATTATATATAATATTAATATTTATAAAAGTTATTATTATTATAAGTGTTAATTATATATTTAAAGCAATAAAGGAGTATAAATAAATTTAAACTTAAAACTTTATTATATAATTTATAATTTATTTAAAAGCCTTTATATAATATTAATTTTTAAATATAAAGGATTTAATTATTTATTATATTTAATAAATTATTTAAAATATTATATTTAAAGGATATTAAAGTAAAAGTGGATAATTAGCTTTAATATAATACTTTTATATTTATATAACTTAATCTTTTAATAATAAATATATATTTAAGTTTAAATTTTTATAATAAAATTAAAGCCTTTTATATTAATATTTATATAAAGAATAATTATATTTATTTTATTATTAAACTTATTAAAGGCTTAATTTATAATAATATATATACCTTTTATTATAAGTTTATTATAGCTTTATATTATAATTAATAATAAAATAAGATTTATTTTATTATTTTATTTTAATATTAAAAAATATTTTAATTAATATAAATTATTAAATTAATAATTAAAACTTAATTATATAATTTATTTTAACTATTATAATATTTATTTAATTAATATTAAACACTATTCTCTTAAGAGTAAATAGGTTATATATATTATTTAAATGGTTTATCTACCTTATTTAAAACTCTTTAACTATATTTTAATTTCTTATAAAATTAAAGAGCTGCTTAATATAAAGCTATTTATCTTTTAAACTTATTAATACTTTAATTATTTAGCTTTATTAAATCTTATTAATGTTTTTAATTTTATTATAACCTTTAATACCTTTTATTTTATTATAATATATTTATTTAATAATACTTTAACTTATTATTAAATAAATTATTAAAGCTTTTAATATAATTATATATATTTATTATAAAATAATACTATTATTATATAGTTATAAATTAAAAAAATATAAAGTAAATAATTATTTCTTTTTATATTATATAATAAATATTAATAAAAGTAATAATTAAAATCTTAAAAATAAAATTTAACTTTAAAATATAATATATATAAATAATTAACTTTACCTTTAAAAATATTATTAATAAGAAATATAATTAATATTAACTTTTTAATAAATTTAAAGAATAAAAAGTTTTTAAATATAAAAAATATTAAAAATTATATTTAAAATATTAAAGTAAAAACTATAAAATTAATAACCTTTTTTTAATTAAAATTAATAATAATAATATAATTATTAATAATAATATAAAATTTTAATTAATAAAATGTTTAATGTTATTAAAGCTATATAAAAGCTTTTTTTTTTTAATTATAAATAATATTATAATTAACCCTTTAAACTTTTAAAATATAAATCTTATCTTTTTATAAGTAATATATTATTAATAAGCTATTAACTTTTAATTTAAGGTAAATAATTACTTAATAGTTTTTAAATATAAATATTTAAAGCAGCTTTATTTTTACTTTTAAATTAAAAGGCTATATTTCCTTTAAAGTTTTTAAATAAAAGAAATATATTTAATTTAATTTTATAATAATAAATTATAATCTAAAGCTATTTTACTTTTATTAAGTAATTTTATTAATATAAAAATAATTAAATATATTAATTATTTTATTTAATTCTTTTTAATAAAACTTATTTTTAAATGTTATAAATTAAAGAATAATAAAAGTATTATAAATTAAAATAATAATTATAAAAAAGGAGGTAAATATATAAAAAAAAGATAATATTTAATTATATATTTAAATAAAAAGGGTTTTTAAATACTATTAATAATTAACCTATTTATATTTTTATATAATTAAGTATATAATTAAATATTTAAAAATAAAATTAAACTTTTTAAAATAAAAGAGTAGAATAAAATAATTAATAGTAGAATTAATATTTAATATTAATATAAATAATTTAATATTATAATATAATAAGTTAAAGATTATATTATAAAAGAATAATTAAAAGGAATAAGAATTATATTATTTAATAACTTTAAATAAATTATTATTAAAGTATTAAAGCTTTAAAAATTAATATAATAAAAGAACCCTATATTTAAAAAACTTATAATTAAAAAATACCTTTATTTTAATTATAATAAAAAGTTTAAACAAGCTTATAACTTTATAAAATATAAATTTAAAGCTTATTTTTACTTATAAAAGTATATTTATTTTAATTATAATTAAAGATTTAAAAAATATTTAAACTTTAAAAAATATAAAAATAATATAATTTATTATTTTAACTTAAAAAAGTATACTTATTTTAATTATAATAAAGAATTTAAATAAGCTTATAACTTTATAAAATATAAAAAGGTTTATTTTTATTTATTAAAGTGTTTAATTTTCCTTTATAAATATTTTAATTATAATAAAAAATTTAAATAAGTTTATAACTTTATAAAATATAAAAAGGCTTATTTTTATTTATTAAAGCGTTTAGTTTTTATTACTTTAAAAGAGAAGTTAAATAATAAGGTTTTATAATTAAAAAGGCTTAATAAATAGCTTATAAATAATAGTAATAATAGAGGTAAAGATAGTAATAAATAAAAGGATAAAGAAGATAATAAAAAAAATAAAGATAAGAATAATAATAATAATAATAGTAATTTAATTAATGCTTAAACTTAAATTTTACATTTAAGCTCTTTAAGCTTAATTAATATAATAATTAATTTTTAAAATTTTTAAAATATAAATAAAACATTATTATTTAAATAATATATTATAAATAATTTATTAATTTTAATTTAAAGTAAATAATTATATAATTAAAAAAGATTATACTTTAAAAGAATAATTAAAAAAATAAAAAATAAGTAATATAATTATTATAAATATATTATTATTAAGATATTAAAGGTAATAAAACAGCTCCCTTATAAATAATTAAAGGGAATAGAAAATAAATAATATAATAATTATAAATAGATTGCTATTAAGGTATTGGAAAAGATAAGATAGCTGCCTTATAATCTAAGAACTGCTATTAAGGCATTAGAGAAGATAAGATAGCTGGATTCCATTCCGCTTTGCTTCTGATTGAGATCATATTACCTATAGTAGATGGGTTAGGAGGTTCGGCATGCGAAGATGTCGTACGAACTTTAGTACGCCGTGCTGCAGGTATCTTTTTCATGTCCAATTCAATAACGTCATCAAACGAAAGAAGTCTGGGAATCAAATACGTACTGGAGCGGTAGCGCCCGGCTTGTTTATTTCTCGGTTCATGCGCACGGTTGCGATGTCATGATACCTCTAATGCACGAGACTGGGCGAAAGGAAAAAGAGACGAGGCAATCAAAAAAGCAAACGAGACAGCGGCACGAGATAGATGCGACACATTACTGTTGTCTAGTCACTGTAATCTTCATGATACTACTGTTGAAGTAGATAAAGATGGAGATAAAGACGAAGACGGAGATATAGGTATAGATATGCCCTCGGCTAAGCGTGCTCGAGGGCCAGTAGGTAACAATCTACCAGCACAAAATCAGAATAACAAGTCTGCATTCGATTATTGATCCCGATCGGCTTCCAACTACGAGATTGACGCGGGGAGGGGAGAGCACCTTACCTACACCCACCATAGGTAACATGTAGGGGGTAGAGCCAAGCGGTCATCTAGGCGAACGCGCGGGGTAGCTATTACCGCTACCCACCCACCTGACCACCTAACCCATAGATAGGCACCTAGATCCCTTCACTCCTCCCTTCACTCTTGTATCCCTACACCAGTCAACCCCTTTTCTACGCTGCAACAACCATCTTATATCCGCATTCTCATCTTCATCCGCACCTCTAAAAAAATCTGTTTGCGACAGCTTCTCAGGGTATGGCCCAAAAAAGTAGCGAGCCAAAGCCACCGAAGAGCATGGATTCTAGGCGTCTGACAATCATAAAATCAATGTTTCATTTCAAGCAAGGGTGCTAGGATGGTAGCGTGTGTAAAAGGGGCCGCCGTGCACACTACAGGAGTGTTACGCTAGTGCTTCTGTCCCGCTTCTTAGAGGGCGTAGGCATTGTCCTTTAGCGCAGTTGCCTATAGCAACCAACTTAAAGCGATGACCCGACGACTTTCTTAAGAGACAATAAAGTATACCCCTCAGGGATTTTCACTCGACCTGCTCTGTCTACTTCTATTGTACAGCTGGGAATCATAGATGGAGACTGTATCGAGGTTTTCTAAAAGTGAAGGAGTTAATGCTGCTGCTAGTAGAACATCATACACCGCCATCGAAGCATTTGATAAGACCAACACCTTTCATTACGCAATTTTCTAATCATACACACATTTGATTACATATTAATTTCAGCTAGTTAAGGTGTTAGGCGTACATACTATAAGGCATGAGCTTTGGCATTCTAACATGAGAGCCATATAAAGATTAAATGCAGTTTATAAGGTGTTAATTGGTATTAAGATCTACGTAATGTAGGCCTTAATTAAAACCTAATCCAAACCAGAGTTAAGGGCAACGTCGGTTTAAGTGGCAGAAAGATGAGAATGAATAGCTCTGCGATAAGTCTATGATGCTTCTCTGATCGTCATCTCCCTACAGGGGTTTTGAGACTAACCAAAAGTAGCGATCTTGGGAATTAAATTCCCTGAGTCTGACCTAAACAAAATGGCCTATCACGCCACCTTCGAGACTCTCCAGGCTGGACTCACAGTGGTCCAAGTGCTCCAGATTGGGTATGCATGAAGGGAGTTCGAATACATCTTCCAGCCGGCAGGACTAGAGATAGCGCCAGGTAGTTTAGTCTAGGGCGCTGTTCGAGCCATCGGCCTTATGGTTCATCAAGGTTTTCTTAAGATATGAGAAAATAAGGCGGGGTCGATATTCCAGTCCCCGCTGGGGCATCCACGTACCTACCTGTAGTGACCCCCCTGACGAATCGTGCTTAGTGAGAATACAGAGGAAGATGCCAGCCCGCAATCCTGTGTTGGCCCCCTAAAGATGGCCGCCACGTGCTAGAACCCCCCTCCCCCGGATTCCAGAGCGTGGCACGGGTCGCTTAGCACCCCTCTCTCCCTGCAACATTCAGACAGATGCCGCGGTTTGGCGTGCAAACTATGCTTCCTGTATGGCAGTTGACATGTGATCGCACTATCGTGAAATAAGTGTAGCATTTATATAGATATAGCTCTATTAGGGCAGGCGTATAGCAATAAGCTGATAGACGATTATTATACAACTATATCCCTTCATAAACAAGTGGTCTCTAGGGGCCTCTAGGGGTGAGGGTGGGTTGGAGACTATACTACAACAAGTCTACACAACCTTTACCTAATCCTCTCCTACTCGCGCTACTATCTAATACTGATATATCTTCGACGGGTGGTTCTTGCAGTCACAAGTGCCAACATCATCTGAAGAGTGAAGTCGATAGAGAAGTCGAGCCGGCGCTTCACAAGACAACGCAAGATAAGGCCGTGTGCAACCTGCGGTTTCTGTGTATCAGCCGCTGCGGGCGAAGCTAGAGGAAGAACAACATTGGAGGGATGGATAGGGGAGAAAGTGAGCAACGGTAAAGGGAGGGGAGGGGAAATAGCATAGAAGCAGCACATCAGCAGGCTTTTCCCCATTCATGTAAGGCTTCTGGATGTCTTGGATTTGCAAGATAAGCCGGTCCAGGCGCTCGGTAACTTGCTGCCTTGATCTTTGAGTGAGGCATTAGCCCATCAGTAATGACCAGCCTCGGAAATACATAATTAAAGCTTGACGTACTCTCCACCCTCACATCCATCCCTCCAGATGTCCCACTCCATCTCCAGGTCCAGACCCCTCTTCTTCCTCGAGTCTCTGATTTCTCCGGAATTAAGCCCCTCATAGTTGCCATAATCCCACTCCGCTATATCTTCGGTGAAGGTGACCTTCTCTTCTTGGCAATGCGGCAGCAGAAGCTCAAAGGTCTGCCTAGCCCTCTTTCTCGGGCAAGGCGGGACGGGTCAAGGCGTTTGCCGGTGCCTACAAGACTAACCGCTGCCGAAGAGACCTGCCCAACGCCCGCCTTGGTGAGCTCGATCTCTGTAGTGCCCGTGAAGCGGGCCACATTTGGCCCATTCCGTCTCTCCTATTCATAGAAATTCCGTTATTCAAGAGCGGTTGGGGAGTGTAGTTCGACATAAAACGTACCATGGCGCACAAGTTACACACGGGGTGTTAGGCCGTCTTGGCCGGACATGGCGCTGGGAGTTGAATCGCAAGGGTTGGAGGAAAGCTACAAAAGTGGGATGCAACGCAGCTCGTTGTAAGCTTACCCGGGCAGAATATATTCCGTCCCGAGGCACTCAGCTTAAGTGTTTGAATTGGCTTGATATATTTGCAATTGGTATTGACAATGCTCTTTATCATCAGTTGTGGGATGGCAATAATTGGTAAGGATGGGATTATCGTAGTGGTATCCTAATCAGCAATATCCGAAATTGAATCGATCGGAGATTTAAAATGCTTGGTTAAAGTTAGAAGAGGGAACAGCAGTTTTAGGATCTACAAAATGGATGAGTTCGTAATATTAATTCGAACTTACTGTTGGACAGCCTTGTGTCCAACACCGAGTCTGACATGGATAGGAACAACCTCGTGAAATCTGGATCGTTCTATCTCGTTAAACAAAATTCCCGCTATTCATCAGTTCATTCGTCGTCGCCAGAGCGTTGTAACCACACATTCCCCAATACGTAATTACCTTTCCAACGCCTGAACCCAACCCTCTGTGAGGGGGTTTTGGTTTAGCACCCAGTTTCCCATTCCGTTTTAAGTAGAGAAAGAATATTGGGAAAAAGTGCACACACGGGACTTCTCCTGCACTTGACTCATCCCATTTGGCGGCGGGCCGCATTTGCAATGTAGTTTTGTATTACACTGCTGTTACATTCGGAGTGTCTCAGGATCTCGTTCTTCAAATCCAAAATCTCCTCGCGCAAGTTACCGACGTGGCTGAGCAGCACCGTGTTCTGCTGGCTTAAATCTCTCTCACGTCGTTGTAGTCCAACAATATTCTGCTTGGCTTTTTGCCGGCATTTCCGGGCGGCAACGCGATTTCTTTCTCGGCGTTGCTTGATATCTGGCACCCCGATCGCGTCCATTGGGGTGGTTGAAGATGCTGATGTAGATGTCGATGTCGGGCGTCTCCCCAGCCTAGTTGAAGCTAGACTTGGCTTACTTGATGTTGCGTTACAAGTTTCGTTGCCATTAAGGAAATTTTCAGCACTGAAATCTTGCTGGGCCGAAATGAAATCTGCTGTGTTTAACTGGTTTATTTCGTAGACCAATTGCCCAATAGTTCGTCCTTGTGTGGATAATGCAGGCTCCGCAGGGTCACTATCTAGTTCAAATTCGCTATTAAATTCCTGATAAGGAGCTAGAGGTGTCTGGAATTGATATTGGGTGTTTCAGCTGACATTGGAAAGCCGAGTCTAAAGTAGCTTCAAGGGACTTACATCATTCGTCGAACCATATGGCCTAACGTTTGTTGATGTGACCCATATCTCTCTTGTGGGTTTTCGCAAGTTTCGTCGGCGACTGTATCGCACATCTTCTGCCGGATGAGTCCAAGGGAATTCTAGCGTAGGCGACCTATCGCTTTCTGGTGGTGCACCGAAGAACGGCAAATTCAAGTCACAAGCGCCGTCCTCGAGGTTTTGGCGAATGACAATCGCTTCGTTCATTATGGCGAGTTGATATCCCAAAGTGAAGTTAATGAATTCTAGAAATGGGTTCGAGTTCTCGCAGGAGGCGATATTCTGTGTAAGAGTCCCCAGTAGAACATTTTGTGTTAAACTGGAGAGAAGAGCGGCGGACGGTATGTTGACCAGCCCAGCCAGAAAAGCTGTAACAAGGACGGGAATTGTCAGATAATGTGGCGAAGAATCTTCTAGCAGCATATTACAAATCTATTTGCCACTTATCTTATATATATAAACTTCGCTGCTTCAATGGCTTCAAAAAAAGCAAGAATAAGGTGGACAATACATCCCCAACAATCTCACAAGGAATATTTCTGGAGCAAAACCCGCACCCGCTCTATTTCCTGTAAGTAGGTTCCGTTAAAGTCCTCCACTGATCTGGTTTGGATGGTTGCAGGTAGTTGTACATTGCTGCAGCCCTTGCAATGCAGCTTTATCTATTTCATATAATAATTGGTCAATGTGCCTTTGATCACTTGCCTCAATGGGGTTCAAGTACAGCCGAAGGCACTTCCACGTCATGTCTCGATCGGAAGACGTCACCGTGGTCTTCGGCCCAATGACTACTGTTGTTTAGTATGGGTAAGACGAGTAAAAGCTAATCAAATTCCATTTCTGCGACCTCGGTTGTGGTCATCAATCCGGTATTGTGGCTTCAAGCTTGGAGAAAGAAAACAAACTTTGGATGGGTTCTCCAGAACAAGGCCGCTCCCTACACTATGAGTAGTAGCGTAGATGTAGTACCTAAATTGAAGTAATGGACCCTGGGGCTTTGTTTAGGTGTAGCTACATCCCAGGCCTCACGCCCGACTCAGGGCTGCTCATCGATATAACCGATCATCTTACGCACCGAGGAGACAGCGCGACCGAAACTCGTGGAGATGCAGATCTATTAAGTTTAGAGTTTAGCCGTTTGGCAATGTAGACTTCTACAGAAATTTTGATGCAGCAGAACGCGGGAAGAGCTGTCTATCTAGTGGCCCTGCCCTACCTTACCCTACTCTGTACGATGATGAGCATTTACCTATTCCAGCAAGGAAATTCCCCCCGCAATGCCGATGATGTCATCATCCCTTTGAAGGAGACACAGAACATAACAGATCAATAGAACACACACCCCCAATTGCGCTGTTACTTCGAAGACTTGCTTATTTCTGACACCTATCGCTCAGAGCCCTTGCTCCAATTTCCAAGCATTAACGGCTTCCTAAAGATAATAGGATTAACAATGAATGCATGTTGTTAAAAGTTGCCTTAGTCTTTAGACAAGCGCAGGATAGGAGGAGCTAGGATTAATACTTGAGCTTCTCTCGCGTATGTAGGCGATCCATGAATGTATAGTATTGAAAAGAGTTCCGAAAGGAAAATACAACGATAGGTGGTAGTATTGACCGCTATTTTGACTAATTCGGTTAGGGGGGGAATTCGGTTAGGAGGGGGTGGGCTCTAAGCCCCTCGAGCCTTTCACTTTAGGTAATATAACTAATATGGCCGCTAAGTTATTAAGCATCTAATTTATATCAATATACTGCTCCTAATAGTAAAAAATAAAGTTAAATACTTTTAATAATATTTAAAAGTTAAATAATTATATATAGCATTAATTAAAAATTAAATATAATTATAATAATTTTATTTATTAAAGATTTAAATAATAATATATTTATTAAATTTATTAAAAGGTATAAAGTTTTAATAATAATAACTTATTTTACTTAATTATCTTTTATTTATAAAATTTATTATATCGTTTTAACTTTAAATTTATTTTTTATTTTTTATAATTTTAAAATAATATATATAATATTATATACTTTTTAATTATATAAAGGTATAATATTTAACTTATACTTTTTAATTTAACTTTAAAAGATTTTACTTTTATAACTTTTATTATATAAACTTTTAATTAAATAATTAATAAATTAATTTATTTATATTCTTTATTTATAATATTAATATAATATTTTATAAAAATAATTAAATAATTTTACTTTATAACTTTAAATATATTATAAAGTAATTTATTATAAATTAAATAATTAATAATAAATAATATTTTATAAATTAAAGTTATTTTATTTATTATTATAAATAAAATTTAAGCTTTTATATTAAATATAATTTAATAAAATATAATAAATTAATTATTTAAAGTTTTAAAATTAATTAAATTAAAGGTTTATAAAGATTTAAAAATATAATTAAATTTTTATATATATAATTAATAATATTTATTATATTTAAATAAAAGTTTAATATATATTAAAAAATTTAAATTATAGTTAAAGATATTTAATTTTATAAATAATTTAAAAGTTAAAATTATTACTTTTATTATATATATAACCTTTATAACTATTTAAAATAATATTATTATTAAAAGATATTTTAAAGGATAAGGATTAATTTTAATAAAATATAATTTATTCTTAAAGATTATAATATATTATAAAGAATTAAAATATAAAATATTATATATATATTTATTTTAAGGATATTATATTTTAAAAATATAAAATATTAATATATAAGATTAATAATAATATATAGCTTATTTAATTAAATAAATTATTAAAATATAAAATATTAAAATATATTTATATAAAATTAATTTTTTTTTAAATAATATTTATATATTTATAAAAATAATAAATATAATTTAAAAAAATCTATTAATTTAATTTATATATATATATTTTAAATCTTAATATAAATTAATAATTTTTTATTAAAGAAATATAAAATATAATAGCTTTAATTAAATATATTATTTAATAAAATAAATATTAAAAATACTTTTAATATTATAAAAATTATATTATTTTATTTTTCTTATAAGTATTTAGCTTTAGCTTTAACTTTAAAACTTTAAAGCTTTATAAATTTAAAATTTTATATAAATTATAAATTATTAAGATTTATAATTAAAAGTTTAAAATTAAAGTTATAAAGAATATATAATATTAACTTCTTTATTTTAAATATTAAAATATAAGGATTAATATAGGTTTATAATATTATATTAAACTATATAAAAGAAATAGGTTAATTATATAAATATATATATAAAACCTATATAAAAAGAGAACTTATAGGTATCCATTATTAGGTTATTGCTATAAGTTTATCTTCATCACTTATTAACTATCTCTTCGGTTAGAATTTGTCGGTATTGGTACCAAAGACTTACGTGTTTCTATACGCAACCCAGGAGTTGATGCCAACAATTGTCTATAGCGTAGTTAGCTACCGTCACTTCTAATAAGATCAAGAATAATGGCACTTACACCCGCCGGGAAGAAGTGATTACATATGGTCGCACCGCCTTCTGACACAACTCGTTCCAGCGGCAGACCTGTGGCTGGGTGCATTCGTAACGCTTCCTTGATGACAGCCTGGAGATACGGCATTTGCTGCGTCTCTTTAAAGCTATAGGAATCAGATAACAACCCGCGGCCCCGGAATTCTTCGATCTCCCGGCGCAGTTCTTGCAGGGACTTTAGATTTCTTAAGCAGATAGTAGAGAATAGCGGAAAGGGTGGTGCCAGTAATATGTGACCCAGCAGCTATATTCGTCGTCACATTTCTGCGTTTCTCTTGCTCCTCTGCGACTCTAGTCTTTATGAGCCTCACAACGTATTCTCTACCAGCGCCCTTATTGCCCGCGAGGAAGTTCACCACGGCAAACGCCAGGCGATAGAAGCGAACATAAATGCCGATCGAAGTCGCGTAGAATAATCCCTTCTCGGCATGCGGCGACGATGGAGACCTGGGCAGTAGCGGGCCGCCAGTACGGGACATTGGCGCTAGCGTTGTTCATGACGTTGTCGCGAGGGGCACACCGGGCTAGTCAACGAAGGATGCGGCGTGCGTATGTTTGGTTGAGGTCCTGTTGACGCGGGTCGAGTCTGATTACAGAGCTGCGAAGGGCCGAGATCTTCGGGGGGAAAGGGGTAGGGGGTGTCACTAAAGTTTATCACTTAAGAAGGTACATTGTTCTCGGGATGCGGGCACAGGTGCCGGTAAGATAGGTGGAATAAAATGCGAAGTGGTGTTATGTGTCGTGTGTTGTGATGTGAAAGCGTTGGCTGGCTGGCTGAAAAAAAGAAGTAGTAAGCAGGACATCGCGGGCCTTGGCTACACTCTTGCTGCCCCACGTCTGCCCGCGCGTCTTCTCCAGACAACCCCGCTACTAACTGACGCGCCAACTCATAAGCTAGTTACCCCTCCTGGCTGTCCCAGGTGATTCTCGCGCATTTCCAAGAGCCGCGACGCCGCCCATTCCATAAATGAATGCAAGGTACAAAATGCAAGGCAACAAGTGGCAGATTTGAGCCCACACACAGCGGCACCATTAAAGCCGGCGTAGTTCTAGCTCAAAACGCTAGGTGAGTATCCGAAATCCGTATTTAATTGTTTTAATCTAAAATGGGTGGCGGATTTATCGGATTCTGGGGCCATTATAAATGCAAATCCGTATACGATTCACTTTATTATAACTTTAATCGTTAATCATTAACTAAGGCTATGCCTGGGAATAATAGACCCATTGGACCTACTTTTACCTATATCATTAGGGAGGTAGAACTATTTTAAGAGTTTACAATTAAGGGCGTGGGCAAGGCGGCGCATAAGGCATAGAGGAAGAAGATTGCAACGCTAAGGATAGGAGAGCTAAAAAAGTTTACAATAACGAACTCGAAGCTTTTTATAATAACTCTAACACCTATTAATAAACTAATAGCATATAAGATATAAAAAGGCTTATATGCTTAAACTTATAATTATTATTACTTATATGTTCTCTTATATATATAAGGTTTAACATTGGAAATCATTAATATACTGCTTAATATTTATGGAGTTAAATACTTAGCCTACGTAGCTTGAGAGAATAGAGGCATAGATAAGCAAGGTCGGTGCCTTTATAGGGGGCCAGGAAGAGTCGAAAAACCGTATCACTATATATATGGCGGGCCACCGATGTAGCCTTAGATGGAACTGTTAATTGCGGAACGCTACATCTAACCTTAGTTATTGCGCTGTGGTACCATCTATAAGCTCCCTGACTTCACACCCACGTAAAGGTTCACATTGCAGTTAATCCTGGGTTGCCGTATAATCGCTCGAGGCGTGCAGCTTGTAGTCGAGGTTTAGATGATCTAGCCATCATACTAACCAATTGAGCAGGGGCAATTGGCTGTGGCGAACGTCGGAAGCATCATTTCTTAGGACGACGATCCTAGGTCTACTAATCGCCCATATCTACTGCCTAGCAGCTCCTACCGGGGTCAAGCTTAACACATTCAATCCCCGGTGGTGGTAAGTCAATCGCAATATTTCTATCACGTAACGTTATATAGGGAACTTTCTCCCCGTCGTCTGGACCATAGGTTGTCCCTGCCGGTGGTAATGGAGGCGGTTACCTAAATATCACAATATCATTTTTTATTAAAACACCTGCTTGCTTTAAAACACCGTATAGCCACAATCTATTAAGTGTAACACTTTATAGGTAATATAGCACATCTTACTAATCTATATTTCAATAATATAAAACATTATCATTACTCTTAAATAATCTTTATAAAGATAAAAACTGTTAAATTATAAGGGGACAGTTAGCCCCTTAATAAAAGCACCTATTATTATTAACATAAGCCCGAAGAATAAGAAGTAACTCCTTCTACAATACCCAAGAAACGCTTACCAATAGTAAAAACAATAACAGCTTTAAGTTTATAGCTACATAAGTTAACCTTACACTCTTAATCAAAACTACCTATGAAATAATAATAGTTGATCGTCTTCCTTGATTAAAATCTACGGATAATGCATGTTATGCCCAAGATCAGCGTTAATGTATATCGATAAATAGATAGCTCTTATATATAAAAACGAACAGAACAACTATACTTGTATTATAAAACCAACAGAAGCTATAGGCCTATTGTAGAGACCAAGTGTTATTAGGTTAAGGACGCCCGTTACAGAGTATAGTTAGGCGGCTCTCTCCGAGGTAAGTTACACAAGTGAGTTGCAACCATCTTGTGCAGGCCCCTAGCAATACGCTTTGCGAAGCTATTGTTGCCTTCGTCCACCTCGGTTTCCGAGTCCGAGTCTAGCTCGAATACAGAGACGAACCGCTGAACTTGGGGTTTCGTTGGTCGTGGCTCCAGTAGCACAGAGGGAAGCATCGGCGGAGCCGTCACGTTGTGCGAAACCAGGCCATTGTTGTTGCTGTAAACCCGGGTATTGTCTCGAAGGTTGAAGGTTGAAGTACTGGTTCGCAGCATACATGGTGGAGGGAAAGCTGGGGGAACTGAGACAGAAGCTGCCGTGTTTACTGTAGTCGATGATCGTTGCTACGATGAAACTGATTTGCTGTATAGTACAAGTAATAGTGCAATGAAGAGAGAATTAATGTCGCAAGTCGACCTACTGGAACCCAAGAATCGTCCCCGCGGTGGTGAAGTTGCTTCAAAGCTCAGCGATGAAGTGCGTTGTGGGTATGGATGTCTTTACACATTGGTCGGTAGTGGCTTAGGATAGACAGAAGATGTTATGGCGCCTCTCTTCGGCGTAGACTGTAATGGTGGCGATTGAAACGTATGACCTGGTGTAGCGAGTTCTTCCACCTTCGGGTCATATTCTACACCAGAAAGTTGGCGGCGACTTGTTGGGTTTGTCTCGGAGTAATCCTCGCGCTGTCTACATTGCAGCAGAGCTAGGTGGTATTCTTAGGATTGCCTATATTTCGATGATCCTATATCATCAAGCCAATAGCTATCCCATAGTTTGCCGGCTAATATGTTATAAATGCTGTCGTCATTAAAGGATAAATCAGAGTCCGATGTATTTGTCATTCCTAATACTGAGCCATTCGATGATTGACTGTCACTTAAACTTGGCTTTCTCAGCAACCTGCTATCTCCTTTTGTAATGACGTCCGCGGTTTTGTTCTTTGATAAGAATTTCTCCAGTTAAAAAGGTGCGAAGGTGTTAGAAAACTCCATGATCGAGATAATAGTGGCTGAACGTGGTGTGGGAATTTATATAATATCTCAAGAGGATTAAAGCGCTATCTTGGGCCCTTAAATATAAAGGAGGGTTAACTATTTGGCATATAAAAAGAACCGAGGGCGACAAGTGGTTGAGAAGGTGATACAATTTAGTGAGAGGGATAAGAGGAGGGATAATAAGGCAGACAGCGAAGAGGTCCCTTTGAGTCACGCTTGCGACGGGAGGTGTCTAATGTTAGTGTAGGTACGAGAGGTAGGAATACTTTCTATTGCTTCTTATTACTTATATGGGTACTTACTTCTTATACTGTGGATATTAAGCCCGAAACATGTCTATCTAATATGCTTTTCTTAAGTGCTTTATTCCAGCCACGGTTAATGCAAGTCGATCCCCGTTCGTACTAGCAGAAGCCGACTCCCTTTGCAAAAGATAGGATTAAAGGAAAGAGGAGATGTGTAAGGGCACCTATAGCACCATGTGATGGTCCAGTAAAGGAAGGACACATTATTAGAGACCGGAAAGCGTCCCGTTGCACTGCAAGCTACGATATAGGCTTGCGCCAACATGGTGGCTGTAAAATCATGTCCATTAACATCTCCGAGACATTGTAAAGTAGAATCAACCCTGGGAATCATTTCTAGGAGAAGGGTTAATGTAACAACTTATCTCAACCATCAAACCTTGTTAAGGCCTAGAGTGGTGTTAGGGTTTATATTCAGAATAAGTCAACTATAAAACACGAAGTATTAAGCAATAGTTCTTCTCTCATTAAGTCGTCAGGTAGTTTCTTATAAAAAAGAAGTGTACGCTTAAATTGATTGCTGAAATAAGGAATAACTAAATATATAGGAAATACTCGTAGACTAAATAGTAACTCCTCCCTTCACTGATCCTGGGGCCCACCTGAATCATCATCCTCACGAGGTAAAATGCTATTGGAAGAAGCCGTGCATTAACCCAATACTGGCATGCGTACTTTACTTCCACATGGGTCCAAAATTTTGCCCACAATGCTTTAAGACTTTCACCTCTCAAAACTAATTCGAAGCCCATCCTCTGCAGGTTTCCCAAAAAGCAGTTATTAATTTAAGTGCCCTATTCTATTCTAGGAGAGATTTATTTCTCTCCTCGAGACGTGAAATACAGTCTATCGCTTTGCATACGATGGTCGTCTATATCCTCGTTAACCATGACCGTTACATAATTGAATAGCAACTAACCTCATGATCCATTTCAGAAGATATCCGTTCTGACTGATCCTTCGTCGGTTTCTCCTCTTGTTCTATTGCTGTCGTATTTCTTAAATCTGGGATGCTGCCTTCCAGTTCCTTAAATGCATCATTTAGCTCGGTGCGGTAACATTTATCGATTGTGGGTTTAGCGGTTGCTTGAACTGGATTGTGGCGACGAGACTGGTGTGACAAGGGCTCTTATAGAGGGCTTGGAGCTTAGTCATATTCATTAATAATCTATTAGGGGTCTTTAAGGCCTTAATCTCCCTTTTTCTCTTATTTTAAAATAGGAGATTCTTTAGCTATTTATATTCATTTAAGCCTTATATAATTTATAATTCCCTTCCTTTTATTAAGCATTTATACTTTAACTATTAATTCTTTTATAATTAATAAATTATTTTTATTTAATTATTTATAGCTTTACTTTTTATTAAGGATAATATTAATTATTTTTAGTTTTAAAGTCTTAGCTATATAATATTATCTCCTTTCTTTTAATGCTTAACTTTAAGTATAATTTAACTTTTTAAATAATTTATAAGT